GTTTTGAGAGCAGCCTGTGAAAGGGGAAAAAGGTCTCTTAATCTCAAACATAATTCAGTCATTTGCAGTAGTTCCAAAGGTAGAATTTCCTTTTTTTTTTTGTTTTCCTTTTTTTTGTTTATAAACTCATTTAGTTTATAGGTTGCTGTAACTTACATGTGATAGAATCATTTAGGTTGGAGAAGATCATCAAGTCCAACTGCTAACGTAACACTGCCAAGTCCACCACTAAACCATGCCCTTAAGCACCACATCTACATGTCTTTTAAATCCCTCCAGGGATGGGGACTCAGCCACTTCCTTGTGCAGCCCGTTCCAATGCCTGACAATCCTTTTGGTGAAAAAGTTTTACCTAATATCCAGTCTAACCCCCCCCGGGTGCAACTTGAGGCCATTTTCTCTTGTCCTATCACCCATTACCTGGGAGAAGAGACTGACCCCCACCTGGCTACCCCCTCCGGTGAGGCAGCTGTAGAGAGCGATAAGGTCTCCCCTCAGCCTCCTCTCCTTCAGGCTAAACAACCACGGTTTCCTCAGCTGCTCCTCAGAAGACGTGTGCTCTACACCCTTCACCAGCCTCATTGCCCTTCTCTGGACACACCCCAGCACCTCAATGTCCTTCTTGTAGTGAGGGGCCCAAACTGAGCACAGTATTCGAGGTGCGGCTTCACCAGTGCTGAGTCCAGAGGGACAATCACTTCCCTACTCCTGCTGGCTGCAGTATTCCTGATACAAGCCAGGATGCTGTTGGCTTTCTTGGCTACCTGGGCACACTGCTGGCTCATATTCAGCCGGCTGTCAAGCAGCACCCCAGGTCCTTGTCCACCAGGCAGCTTTCCAGCCAGTCTTCATAGAATCATAGGTTGTTTTGGGTTGGAAGGGACCCCTAGAGGTCATCTAGTCCAACGTCCCTGCAGTGAGCAGGGACACCACTAACCAGATCAGGTTGCTCAGAGCCCCATCCAACCTGACCTTGAATGTTTCCAGGGATGGGGCCTCCACTAC